GTGTCAAACCAATCTGATAGCTTTCTTTGATAGGATAACGAGTCTTGTGGATAAGGGAGAAGCTGTGGATGTGGTATACCTAGACTTTAGTAAGGCATTTGATACGGTCTCGCATGATATTCTTATCGACAAACTAGGCAAATACAATTTAGATGGGGCTACTATAAGGTGGGTGCATAACTGGCTGGATAACCGTACTCAGAGAGTTGTTATTAATGGTTCCCAATCCTGCTGGAAAGGCATAACAAGTGGGGTTCCGCAGGTGTCTGTTTTGGGACCGGCTCTGTTCAATATCTTCATTAACGACTTAGATATTGGCATAGAAAGTACGCTTATTAAGTTTGCAGATGATATCAAACTGGGAGGGATTGCAACTGATTTGGAGGACAGGGTCATAATTCAAAATGATCTGGACAAATTGGAGAAATGGTCTGAGGTAAACAGGATGAAGTTTAACAAAGACAAATGCAAAGTGCTCCACTTAGGAAGGAAAAATCAGTTTCACACATACAGAATGGGAAGAGACTGTCTAGGAAGGAGTACGGCAGAAAGGGATCTAGGGGTTATAGTGGACCACAAGCTAAATATGAGTCAACAGTGTGATGCTGTTGCAAAAAAAGCAAACATGATTCTGGGATGTGTTAACAGGTGTGTTGTGAGCAAGACACGAGAAGTCATTCTTCCGCTCTACTCTGCTCTGGTTAGGCCTCAGCTGGAGTATTGTGTCCAGTTCTGGGCACCGCATTTCAAGAAAGATGTGGAGAAATTGGAGAGGGTCCAGAGAAGAGCAACAAGAATAATTAAAGGTCTTGAGAACATGACCTATGAAGGAAGGCTGAAAAAATTGGGTTTGTTTAGTTTGGAAAAGAGAAGACTGAGAGGGGACATGATAGCAGTTTTCAGGTATCTAAAAGGATGTCATAAGGAGGAGGGAGAAAACGTGTTCACCTTAGCCTCTAAGGATAGAACAAAAGCAATGGGCTTAAACTGCAGCAAGGGAGGTCTAGGTTGGACATCAGGAAAAATTCCTAACTGTCAAGGTGGTTAAACACTGGAATAAATTGCCTAGAGAGGTTGTGAAATCTCCATCTCTGGAGATATTTAAGAGTAGGTTAGATAAATGTCTATCAGGGTGGTCTAGACAGTATTTGGTCCTGCCATGCAGGCAGGGGACTGGACTCGATGAACTCTCGAGGTCCCTTCCAGTCCTAGAATCTATGAATCTATGAATTATTAGAATGTGATCTTTCTGCACATGTGGGAAAAAATGCACAGGACCCTATCTATTCTAATTCATTGGTGTTTACTAGCATTAGAAAATTCCTCATGCGTATGAGTGAACGAGATAGTTGTAGATATGATAGCCAAAATGTTTCACATTTGGACCCCTAAATTTAGGTATCAAAATCTTTCTAGGGCAGCTACATTTATTTATTTAGATTCCCATGACCCCAATCATTAGAATATTTGAGGAACTAGATTTTCAAAGATGGTGAATATCCACAACTCCCCAAACCCAAAATACAGTCAAGTCAATGGAGGTTCTGAAGATTCAGGATTTCCAAAATCCAAGCCGCTTATTGAGGTGATTAACTTAAGACATCAAGTTTGAACATTTTGGTCACTACGTTTTATGCATTACACCAAAAGTGCCCTAGGTAAAGTGGTTGGGGTCATAACTTTGGATACATCCCCTACATTTTGTCCATCTTGTCTATTTAGATTGCAAAACATTCAGGGCAGGGAGTGTCTATTACTCTGTATTTGTACAATGCCCAGCACAATGATCCCCATTCTCAACCAGTTCCTAGGTACTACCACTACTACTATTTTACTGCTACTTTTATTGTGATTGAAGTAAAAAAGGGCTTTGTGCCTTACAAAAGTGTGTCATACATTTTCCTTATAAATTAACCCCATTATGCACTCTGATCTGCCATCTTTTTGTTACTAATATACAGATTTAAATCTATTTGTTAAAAAATGTCTAGGAATGATTACTGTGACCATCCAGGGGAGGTTAATCACAGTCCAGCTTGATGGAATGTTATAGTGGACTAGCAAAAAGACCATCTATTAGTAACTATTTTTATCATAAAATGACAGTGGTAATGGCTCCAATAGTGTTATATAGACAATAATTATGTTGACCTCCTAATTGCAGGGATTCAACGATGATTTTCTCGGTCTACATGCAGATACTTTCTGCCCCCACATCTGGACCAAATTTTCTGCAGGCATAACTCCATTGATGTCACTAGAGTTACACCAGAACTACACCATCAGAGAATTTGGCTTTCCATTTTTATTGAAGGTGTCCATGGCCAGACAACTTATTTAAATGCATGACAGTGACTTTGCTCATGTAACAGTAATTTTGAGTTTCTGCGAGTTCCATAATAACTCTGCTTTCTCCAGATGACATGTGTGTGATTCCTCAAAGGTATTTATCAAAAAACATCAGATGATGTCAATGGGACACCTCAACTCCTACTAGCTCTAGAACTGAAGAATAATTTAAAATGCAGATGGCCAGGCAGCAGACTGCTTCAGGAAACACATGAAAAACCTATGTGAATTCCTGCCTACGTGTAAAAAGGGCTGTGAATGCGCTCACTTTTTGTCTCTTTTTGTATGGCTTTCTAATATGCTCCATGAAACAACCTAGGCACCAGGTCCTAGTTTGTTTATGTATGTATTTATTTATGAAACATCAAATTAAAGTTATAGACAATATTACTGAAAAATAATGACTCCACATAATTTCAGGTTGCCAGAGCTAGTGGTGTTTATATATATATAAGTGGGTGACATTATTAAGGTTCTACACCAAATCTAAGTTTTGCTCAATGTGACCCACATTTGAATCTCTGCAAATGCAGAAGTATATAGAGGTTTCTCTTATAGAATTTGGCTTTATTTTTTCCTAGATGCTGATTTGACCTCTGAGCTTCCTCACAGTATGTGTGAGAGTGAGTGAGAGAGAACATCTTAATTAATTTTTTAAATTGTATATATTTATTCATTTACACTATTTTGAAGTACTTATCTCAATTATCAAATGTAATATCAGCAGAGTTGTGAAAAAAACTATTGTTTTGTATTCACTAAAATTTATGTGAATATTTTTTACAGTTTAATTCTGTGTGTGTCTGCACCCTGCTCTGCAGATATTTTAAAGTTTGGAGTTTTGTTTAAATCCAGAAACTCAAAGACAAATTCTGTTGATATATATATATATATATATATATATATATATACAGACACACCCCTACTGGTTTTAAAAACTAGGTTTGGTGAATCCAAATCTGAATTTCAAATTTATAAATAGATTCAAATTCCATGCTGTTTTTCACATGATGAGCAGTTCTAATCATCATATGCAATAGGAACCTGAACCTGCTTCCATTGAAGTCAGTGGCAATACTCCAACTGATTTTTATGAGAATATACCCTGGGTGAAATTAGGTGAAAAACTATAAAAAATGAACAATCACACTTTATGTTGGTAAATGAAGATTTATGGAAGAAGAGGAACTGATGGAGCAGGATAATAACATCAGTGGGTGTGCTTAACCACATCTACCTGCTGGATGTCTTAAGAACAGGCTTAGCCCCTGAGTAAACCCTGACTCACTGCAAATATTAATTATTTGACTTATCACATCGGTACTATGCTGGTTCAGGCAAAGTGAGCAAGCAATCTGACTTCAGGCATGACATGCCCATTTTCTTTGTGGTCAGGCCTCTTTTTGGATCTTAACAGCAAGATCTTCATCTAAAATTATTATTTTAATTATAATTATTTATCATTTCTATTGTAGTAATACTAGAGATCCCAGCTGAAATTAGGGCCCCATTGTGCTAGGTGCTGTACAAATGTATATTAACCAAGTGACTAAAATGAAGAATTTACAGTCTAAATAAACCAAAGAAATAAAAGGTGGGGAAAAAGAAATATTATTAAAAAGCCAAAGGCTATTTTGAATGATATCAAATTTGACCGTAAGATTAGGATGGGAGCAGAATCTAGGATGTCAGACTTGCACATAATTTTCTGTGTAGGCAGAACTCAGGAGAGAATACAGCCTATGGCTTCTTCCTAGTTCCTGAACATTAAAATAGCTATGTTCTTATAATCATAGCAATATAGATCTGAAAATGCTCCAAGATGAAAATATTGATTGCTGTAACTTATGTGATGGAAGTATGATGTTGCCAAGAGAAAAAATAAACTCCTGTATTTATTGAGAAGTAAAACTTAGTGAAGATGAGAAATGGGCTTGAAGTACAACCTGAGATCTAAAAGGCCCTTAACTCTGTGTATGTCTCAGATATGTACTTCTCAGTTGGCCTCTATAGGTGTACTGGACCAAACCAAAAGCCTGCATTGTAGCACTCTTCTGCTTTGCTATGTTCAACATGAGGATCTCAATTTTTGTGATTTGGGCCCATTTCCATTCAGGATGATTCACTAGTTACCATGCAAAACCAAAACAACAACATCCCATGCTTGAAATTAGTTAGAGCACTTGGGGCTTTACTGAAAGGGCAGATGTAAAACATATTTTAGACTTAACTTGAGGCCTGTGAGCTCAAATGACGAGTCATTTTTCAAGTTATATAAAATTGAAATCATTATCTTGAGGAAATAATGGTACAGGAGCTCTCCCTCTGGAAACCAATATTCTTATCATCAATGTGCATATAATAAAAATACACATGTTCAAAACCAAATGGTCACTTGTCCCATCCCATTGAGTGTGTCATTTCCCTTCATATTAAATGTTATTAACAAAGTTCAGTTTTCCCACTGGATTATCTTGTAAAAATAATTTTACTTATTTTTATGGCACTTCCACAAACATCATATTTTTAATGGATATGTTTAATCTTTTATTTGTTTTTCAAATAATAAAAAAAGCAAATAGGCTTCCACAAAAACCTATGGAAATTTTAAATGTTTTCAAGACCACATTCACATACTTCAAAAGTGGTACCTGAGCAATGAGGCAGAGATCCACTCCAATGTCCATTTAATTGACATGTGCGAGATGATTGGCCTAATAGTGATCGCCTTCCTGTGCAGGTATAATGAACAGTAGACCCAAATGTATACTTCTCTCCAGACAGGATCGCATTAGGAGGAATGCCAGGATGGCCACAGTCAATCACTATAATACATAATTATTGAAGATAAAAAAATATTATAATCACCGATCAAACTTCTTACATTTACCATTAGAATTCCCATATTTTATACATACATCTTGTGAAGACGCTGGATTCTTTAATGTTAATTTATTAAATATGAATAATATATCAAGAACCAAATTCTGACAGATGCTGTGAAACAGATGTCTCTTGAAGGGTCATGTGTACATTATCCAAAATGAATGATAATGTACTTCTAATATTCCTGCTGAGATGAGCCTTAAGGTACAGGCATTTAGTGTAATTAAATATATATATACCCTAGATGTATATATATATAAATTACACAAGATGCCTGTACCTTAGGGCTGGTCTCCGCAGAACTATATCTATATATATAAACCTTGAGCTTCTATCTCCTAATTTCCTGATATGTGTTTATGGAGACCAGGAATTGGGCCCAAATATTTTGCAATATAAAGACCATATTTTGCCTCTAAGGCTATGGCCTGTCTTAGGGGCAATGCAGAGTCCCAAGGGTAGCTTGTGAAGCAATTATGCCTGAGCTAGGTACAATTTCTCTGTGAGCTCTCACTGCACCTGGGAATTGAAAAGAATGGACCATCCTTTGACGGCTTCACCTTTTCCACCTCCTCTCCCCACCCTACTTTCTCTGAAGCAATGTCTCTCCCTGGGAGCTAGGGATCAGGGCCTTAGAAAAGCCAATTTACACATAAGCAGTTTTCCTTTCAGGCTTGTCAAGGCTGGATCCCCACTTTGAACTTTAGGGTTCAAATGTAGGG